TTTCCCCATTGACTTCTAATGGTGAGGTCACGAAAATGACCTGACCTCATATGACCTTTAAGAAAAATCCGAGATATGCAAGTTGTGAAACTCATAATGGATACTAGATCCTGCAAGTTTCATTTCCCTGTGACATCTCCTCTGGCAGTGAGGGCGTTGCGAAGTTGCGACATCTAAAGACCGTGCAGAGGTTCACTTATGACGTCATAGGTCAGTGACCTGACCTGACCCGAAAATGCAGTTGGTGTCAAAAGATCCGGCTTGAATCAAAGGTCAGGTATGCCAAGTTTCAGCTCTCTATCCGGCTAGCGTGTTCGGAGCTATCGCGAAAAATCCCTATGGGGGGGTGGCACCCGTCCCCCCCCCCTCGGCCGGCGAAGGTTAAAAAATGTTTTTTAACATTTTTGTTACCTAAGTGTAGCCGGAAACGAATAAGAACTACTACCAATAAAACGCCTTTTTGGGGCGACCAACGGAGCGAGCGAGAGAATGGGCCTTGCACGTGCGAAATTGCGAAGGGGTACCTCCAGCTAACTTGTGCACTGCACCCTACTAACCGGTCCCTAGCGATGTACCAAATTTCAGCACAATCGGTTCAGCCGTTCTCGAGATCTGGAATAGACCCCTGCACGTGCGCACGTGCAGCTGCACCCCAACTGTGGAACATGGATATGCATTGCCTAGTGGGTGCCTATGTACATGCCAACTTTTAGCGCAATCGGCCCAGTAGTTGCCGAGATATTGCAATTGTTGCAAAACTGACACCTCTTCGTTTTGCACGTGGCACGTGCATAAGGGGTCACCCACATGCATCGGGAATAGTCCACTACTTGATAGAGGGAATGAAGCTACCCTACAAAAACTACCGCATGTAAATCGGTCAAGTGGTTGCTGAGATATAAGCCTCGCAAAAGCGTGACGGCCGAGCCGGGCCGCCCATCCTGAAATTTTTCCGTTATATTGAAAAGACTTCGCTCGCTTCGCTCGCTCCGTAATCATTTACCTGAGGAAGATTAGAAACCAGTATAACGCCTTTTGGGGCGACTAACGGAGCGAGCGAGAGGGTGGGCCTTGCACGTGCGAAATTGCGAGGGGGTACCTCCAACTGACTTGTGCACGGCACCCTACTAACCGGTCTCTAGCGACGTGCCAAGTTTGGGCACAATCGGCCCAGCCGTTCTCGAGATCTGGAAGCGGCACCCTGCACGTGCGCACGTGCAAAATGGGTCCCAACTGACTTGTGCACGGCATCCTACTAACCGGTCCCTAACTGTGTACATACCAAATTTGAGCGCAATCGGTCGAGCCGTTCTCGAGATCTGGAAACGACCCCTGAACGTGCGCACGCGCAGCAGCACCCCAACTCTGGCACATGGATATGCAGTGCCAAGTAGGTGCCTACCTACATGCCAACTTTCAGCGCAATCGGCCAAGTAGTTACCGAGATATTGCAACAATTACAAAACGGACACCTCTTCTTTTTGCACGTGGCACGTGCATAAAGGGTCGCCCACATGCATCAGGAATAGTCCAATACTTGGTAGAAGGAATGAAGCTACGCTACAAAAATTACCGCGTGTAAATCGGTCAAGTGGTTGCTGAGATATAAGCCTCGCAAAAGCCTCGAAAGGCTACGCTCGCTTCGCTCGCTCCGTAATGACACTTCGTCAATGCCTGCATGTAAACAAATCACGTGCCAATTTTTTACTTTTGAAATTTTAGAAAAATTTTGAAAATTTTGAGCACTGCATATGAATGAAATTTTAACGCCATGTTGACGCTATTCACTAAATTTGTTTTCATAATTATAGTCTGGTAAACCTAAGAAAGAACGGAGTTAAAGCGCCTGAATCACTTTGCACGGGTTTTGATCACTTGAAATGTATGGTTCGGAGAAATTTGTGTGAAAAAGTTGCGACAGAAAATATATGCTCTCACAATATAAATGCACATGCATCAACGACCGCAGCACTTTAAATCCATTCTTTCATAGGTTCGCCAGAGCCAGACTATACCTAATTATAGATGCAAGAAAAATAATTATTACTTTCGCATATTGTAAGAAATGTTTTTTATAATATATCTAATTGCTTAAATATTGTATTAATAAAAAACATGAAGATGAGACGAAATATTTGTTTATGACGCCATATTTGTAGACAGCCAGCCAGCGCTGACATTTCTCATCAGCCAAATGTACCTATACAGTTCCGTCAGCCAGAAGCGGTGGACGGAGCCTATTTCGGCTGACAACAGCACAACAGCTGAATGTGAACACTGAACAGGCCTTATGACGGCAGTGACTCAAACCAATTAAAATGCCGGTGCAGCGTCGAACAACGTCGTCTCGTCAGTGTGTGCGGTAAATGGGCCCGTCCATGACCATTGGCCTGCGTCAGGGGCGGATCCAGGAAAACTCCAAGGGGAGGGTCATGAATCGAAGTGGTGCCCCTACCTATACCCAAAATTAAAAACTCAACGGATTTCGTCCACTTTATTTTGGTGGTGCCCCCATTTTCAGTTTTTTTTTTCTTTTCTTTTTTTATTTTTAGTCAGTATCTTAACTCTAAGCCACAACCACATTTACCAATTGTAAGCAAGTATATATGAATGTGCTATGTGTATATATGTTGTGGACGCTGAGTAGTGAGTACTTACCAGGAACGTTATCAGGTAAGCAAATCGTCAGTCCGACGAACTTGACCCTGGCGTCTAAAGGGTCTGTCCTTGACACTTCAGGCTTGTCAGGGGCACCAAAGTCCTTCCAGGGACACCACAAACCTGTCAGGGGCACCTACGGCCTTGTAGGGGCGCCACAGGCCCGCCAGGGGCACCACAGGCCTGCCAGGAAGCAGGGGCACCACAGGTCTAGCAAGTATACACGACAGGCCTGTCAGGGGCACAACGGGCCTGTTGGCCCCATGAGCACCCCTAGGGGCAGGGGCACCACAGTCCTTCCAGGGGCACCGCAGGCCTGTGAGGGGCACCAGCGGCCTAGCAGGGGCACCAGTCAACACAGGCCTGCCAGGAGCACCACAGACCTGCCAGGGGCACCAGAGGCCTGCCAGGAGCACCACCGACCTCGAAGGGGTAACTTGGGCCTGTCAGGGTCCAGGGGCACCACGGGCCTGTCGAGAGGCACTTCAGGGTTTTCAGGGGCACCAAAGTCCTCTCCGGGCGCAGGGGTAGCAGGGGCACCAGAGGCCTGCCAGGGGCACTGCAGGCCTAGCAAGGGCACCACTGGTCTATCAGGGGCACCACGAGCCTGTCATAGCCAGGCATCTCAGGCTTGTCAAGGCCCAGGGGCACCACAGGTCTGTGAGGGGCACCAGCGACCTAGCAGGGGCACCAGTCAACACAGGTCTGCCAGGGGCGCCACAGACCTGCCAGGGGCACCACAGACCTGCCAGGGGCACCAGAGGTCTGCCAGGGACACCACCGGCCTCGCAGAGGCACCTTGGGCCTGTCAGGGACACCACGGGCCTGCCGAGGGGCACTTCAGACTTTTCAGGGGCACCAGTCCTCTCCGGGCGCTGGGGTACCAGCGGCCTAGCAAGGGCACCAGAGGCCTGCCAGGGGCACCAGCGGCCTAGCAAGGGCACCAGAGGCCTGCCAGGGGCACCACAGGCCTAACAAGGGCACCACGGGCCTGTCAGGGGCACCTCAGGCTTGTCAGGGCCCAGGGGCACCACAGTCCTTCCAGGGGCATTACAAGCCTGTCAGGGGCACCAGAGGCCTAGCAAGGGCACCACAGGCCTGCCATGGACACCACAGGCCTGCCAGGGGCACCACCGGCCTTGCAGGGGCGCCTCAGGCCTGTCAGGGGCACCACGTGCCTGCCGGGGACACTTCAGGCTTGTCAGGGGCGTTACAGTCCTGTCAGGGCCCAGGGGCACCAGGCCCGTGGTGTCCCTTCTAGGCCGGTGGTGCCCCTGGCGGTCCTGTGGTGCCCCTGTCAGGACTGTGATACCCCTGATAGGCCGGTGGTGCCCCTGGCAGGTCTTTGGGCCCCCGGGCCTCAAGGGGGGGCCATGACCCATGTGACCCCCCCCCCTTGGATCCGCCCCTGGCCTGCGTTGTCACTGGACCAGACGTTTCTGTGACAAGTGAGACAGCCATCCACGGCGATGACCGGTCATGACCACTGGTCATGCGCTGCCAGCGTTCCCATTCAGTGGCCCTTGTTGGGGAGCATCCAACACACTACCACAAATTTGGCGGCTCTCATCGTTGTAATGAATATCGAACGGCTCACAACATTTGTCGACGCCTCTCTAAGACGTCGACGACCTCTCTAAGCCCTAGAATATAATTCAGCCTGTCACGTACCTGCACGGTGAACATGTTCAAAAAGAGGTTCGGTCAGTAGCGACACGAGTGTCGTAACTCGCTATAGAAGTTATAATACCAATTGAAATCCATTGGAGTCTATTTCAATAGCAAACAGTTTGGGGATATTCAGAATAGATGACTATCTGTACCTAACTTCTGTGGCTGATGTGAGACCTCTCCACGGACTCCATCGAGCCAGAGAGCGCTGCACAGCGGTACACCGCGGGGGGCCAGGGGACTTCCCCTATAGCTGACAGAATAAACACCCGCAGAGGCGACGCGACGGTAGCACAGGCGACGGGCTTGTGGCGCACTTGTTCCGGAGCACAGTTTACTCAGTTTTATAGCAGATATGCTGAATGATCTGTGGAGGAAATAATTATTTGCACACATTTCCTGGTCCGGCAGGTGCTCTTGACACACAGTCGCAGCTTTATGTATCAGCTATCAGCAAACCTTGAGGACGAAAACGAGTTGTCATACCATCCATCAAAAGGGCGCACACGGGCCCGTGCACTCCCCCCCATTCGAATTGGGGGGCCCATTTCAGGCGGCCAGGCGGCCTCAAATGGGTAGCAGTGTAGCTGTCGGGTGGTGTAACTGCTCGGCTCGCCTCTGTCTAGCGATAGCGATATCAACAGACCTGACGTCGGTTCCGAGCGTGAATCAGAGGAGTTCACAGCGTCTCAGACTGTGGAGGGCTCCATTCCTGCAGCCACCGTCGTACCGGTGAAGTACGCTGTTTGGGTGTTACTGTACAGTGAGTGGTGAGAGGAGTGGCAGTTATCTAAAAAAGGTGAGAAATTTGATAGAGACTGTGTCCTAATGTATATACATACTATGCCTGTGCTTTATGTCTATACCTACAGCGTCCCCTAGCGCTCCACGGTATACGAAACTAATGGCTAGAAGCATAACAGTAAGGATAAGTATACCTACGGATGGTAATCAAAGCCGAGTTTGCTGATTACCCATTCATATGTTCTACCATATGCTGATTCATGTTAGGTATCTATGGTTCTACATATATATGGTTCGACTATTGTCGCATTTCTCATCTTTTTATTTGTTTTCAGGGACCGATTCACTTTTCAAGGCTACCTAACACTAGATCTTGCAGTTCAGTAGCTATATTGTTTATTTTTAAAAACACGTCCATTTCGCTGCGACCATGGGTAATGGAAAGAGTAAAGAAAAAGCAGAAGCGGACAAGCAGATCGCAATAGCAAAAGCAAAGACCCGTGAGCATGAAATCAGCCTAGAGTAGATAGGCATGCGCGCCATTTCGATATTCTGTATTCGGAATTCAGTGAATGTTGGACATATCTAGTCCTGCGGACGAGACAGAAACAATGTTACAGAGGGAAGGCACTGCATACATGTCTATCTCCCCCCAGTCTTTGCCGGCCGGGAACAAAGACTTACATAGATTGGCATAGATTGAAGGGTGCCGTAACGAAACGACGCCGAAAGGCCAAACGACGGGTCGCATTCACGGGAGCGCGAACAAACAAATAGCCCAGGGGGCAACAAAACACAGCTTCTAGGCAACCAGAACGAGTGGACCGGCTGGAAAACGAGCCGGGACAACGATCAAACACTAAACGCGGAACATATCCGAACATCGCAAACAACTGCCGAGTTTGACAATGATAGGGAGTCAGTGGCACAGTCAGCGCGTGAAATTGGGGTCGCGATAGCGGATCGGCATTTGGCGCGGGCGATCACTGCGACGGGGACGGTCGGGTTCAGTATCTCTCAGCGGCTGCGAGCCTGGCGCGGCAGGGGGCGGCATGGCCGGCGGCGACGGCGTGGCATGACCGGGCGACAACGCATGCGGGGACACGCGATGTGGTGGTGAAGTCGACATGGACGGTGACGGCGTCACACACTGTGGGGACACAAGGGGCGGCGACGCATCTCGCTCGCGCGGGGATAACACCACAGGCGGCGATGGCGCGGGTGGACGCGGTGTCGGGGGCCTGCCACGGGGCGCCCGCGGCGGCGTCGCCGGCATCTGGCCGACCACTGGAGTCGGAGAGCCGGGGGGTTGCGCCGCAGGTGGAGAAGTGGGTGGCGTCAGTCCAGAGTTCGCGTGCGACTGTGACACGCGTGTTGGATGTCGGCGGAAGTCGTCGAGCAGTTCGTCCATTCGGGTGTGCTGACGACGAGCCGGAACAACCGGAGTGTATTTGCGCAGGAACTGCCTGTTGCGCAATGTCATTCGGCCGCTGCCGTCGACCCGGACCATGTACTGGTTATGTTGTCGCACCTCCACGACGCGGCCAGTTTTGTCCCACTTCCTGGGATATCGTCCGATTTGGTTTTGGAGGCGGACGGCATCACCGACGGTCAGTGGAGGTAGTCGCCTCGTATGTGCGGACCAGCGTTCGTGGTCCCGCATGTGGCGGTTCCGGAGTGCCTCCTCACGAGCACTCAGGGTTTCGCGCCACGTGGGATGAGGACGGTACTGACCGGGGGGTATCGGGATGAAGTCTCGCACCGGACGACCGAACACGCATTGGGCCGGCGACAGCCCTGTCGTGGGGTCGGGAGTGTTGCGGTAGTTCAGCATGGCGCGCTGGAAGCGTCGCACGTTCAGTTCCCCGTTGTCACCTGTGTTGCCTTCGATCATGCGTTTGACGGTTTTGACGCCAACCTCAGCGCGACAGTTCGCGTGTGGGAATGCCACAGAGGAGCGGCGGTGACGAACACCGTAGTCGGCCAGAAACGCCTGTGTCTCGTGGGCAGTGAACTCCGGCCCGCCATCGCTCGTCAGCTCCTCAGCGATGCCAAATGTGCTGAAGACGCGGTAGAGACAGTCTCGGAGGCCTGCGCTGCCATCTTGTGCTCTCTCAACGATTGGCCAGTTAGAATAACGATCAACGATGACGAGGTACGTACGGCCGCAGTGTGTAAAGTAGTCCGCGCATAGTTGCTGGAACGGGTACTCTGGGTAACTGATGTCCTCGGGTGGGGCCCATGGCTGCGATGGGGCGTTCCGGTTGCACGTGTGGCATCGTTCACGGGCGCGCCGAATAGCTGACGTGATGCCGGGCCAGTACACGCTTACGGCCGCGCGCGCGAGCATCATGCCGATCCCTTGGTGCGCACCGTGGAGACTCTGGAGCACCTCCTCGCGGAGGCTGGGTGGGATGACGATTCGCTGATCATACAGGATGATGCCGTCGCTGGTGTATAGGCCATCACGGAGCGAATGATACTCTCGGAGCTCCTCAGGCATCTCGTGGCGGTGGGCTGGTAGCCCTCCCTCGATCAGTTCGAGAAGTCGCATCATCGACGGATCGCCTGCCGTTGCGTCCCTCACGCGGTCCCAGGTGACAGACCGGATCGTGGTGATGGCGGCTGCCGCTACCTCGCCAGCATCGTCGACGGTGACGTCGTCGGAGAGGCTTATGCCGATGGGAGCGCCGGTTGGGTACCGGGACGCGATGTCGGGAACGCGGTTCTTGACTCCGGGGAGATAGCTGATGTCGAATCTGAACCGGAGGGTCTTTTCCTTGAGATTACGGAGACGGGCGTTGGGCAGGTCGACCAGTGATCGGTCCCCGAAAATCTTCACGAGGGGTTTGTGGTCAACAACGACCGTGAGGTCGCTGCAGCCGAGCACGAAGAAGCGCGTTTTCTCGAGGGCGTCGGCCACTGCCAGCGCCTCGCCCTCGACCGGGGCGTACCGAGATTCAGCGCCGGATGTAAAGCGGCTTCCCACCAGCGTGGTCTTCCAGCCCTCAGCGCAGCAGAGTGGTGACCGACCGGCGCATGTGCAGTATTTCTGGAGTAACCAGAAACCGATACCAGTACGGGACCAGTCGGTGGCCAGGACGGTTGGGCGATCTGTCTCGAAGATCTGGACACCCTTCGTGACCTCCTCGACGATGGTCCGTTTCGACATGTCGAACAGTGCCTGGAGTTCATCCGTCCACGTGAACTTGCCGGGCTTCAGGAGTTCCCGGAACGGCAGCATGGCATCCGCCATGGCGAATGCGTAGGCGACGTGATTGACGACCCCGAACCACGCGCGGACGTCTGTCAGGTTCCTGGGAGTGGGGAACTCGGTGATGCTCTGAAGGAAGGCATGAGACGGGCGGACTGTGTCAGGCGTGATTTCAAACCCAGCGAATTCCGCTGTCTTCTGGGCGAAGACAAACTTCTCGCTGTTCAGCGTGATGCCGGAACGGCCACACATGTCCAGCCATTCCACAGTGCGCCAGAACACCTCCTCGATGCTGTCTCCCCAGAGAAGGGTGTCGTCGATGCATTTCGTGTAGCAGTCGTGTGACAGGTTTGCCGCCATCACGATCTCGTCATAGCGGCGCGTGTACCCGTCACCGCTGGAGATGTAGCCCTGGGGTGCCGCGCAGTAACGGTATCGGCCCCAAGGGGTCAGGAAAGTGGTGAGGTGTCGATCTTCCTCGTGTAGGGGCACCGAATGGTAGCCATTCCAGGCGTCCAGTATCGTCTTGTAGGTCGACCTCGGCACAGACCGGGCTTGGTGGAAGGGACTTGGGGTATGATGCGTCTCTCTTGCGGCGCAGCGGTTCAGGGGCTGAAGGTCGACGCAACGGCGAGGGCTTCCCGACTTCTTGGAGACGACGACCATCCGGTGGCACCAGGTCACCGGCTCACCAATCGGTACGGGCTCGATGACCCCCAGCTGCACGTCGCGATCCAGGGCGGCCTTGACCTCCGTCTGCCAGTGCAGTGGTACTGGGATAGCCTTGTGGTGGGCCACTGGCTCGGCGTCAGGTCTGAGCATGATGCGCAGGGGTGGACCGTCCATCGGCGTGAGTGGCTGATGTTCACAGGTGTTGAACGTGCTCGCAGAGTAATAGTCGGCCAGCCACTGACGCAGGGCGTCGACGTTGCTCTCCGTTGCCGGCATAGGTAGCTCTGTTGGCTTAGGCGGAGGCGTCTGACGGCGAGGACAGGAACATGCGTTGTACTCGTCGATGCCGATCCCATCCGCGGAGATAGACGCGAGCCCGACAGCGGGGAAAGCGGCGTCGATCATGCCGAGGTCACGACAGGCATCTCGACTGAGGTACATGGTGTCGCAGTTCGGCGTGATGTACACGAACTGTCGAGTCTCCCGCCGAATGCCGTCGCGGTGGCCGGATATACGTAGGATCAACGCTCCGCGGATGTCGATGGGATCGCCGTTTGCTGCGTGCATCCTCAGGGACGTCGGGACGAGGTCAGCCTCCGTGACGCCAAGGCGTCGCATGAGAGAGATGCCCGCCAGACAGCTCTGACAGCCTGTGTCGGCGATGACTTCCTGAGTGATGGTGGCCTGGCTGACCGTGCACTGGAGGCCCAGGGCGCCGTAATCGGCCGGTTGGAGCGAGAGGTCCAGTTTAATCGACGGCTGGGGCTGGCTGGGTTGCTGACACCAGCTCTGGGTGATGTCGTCGTACATGTGGTGCCGCATGGCTGCGGCGGTGCATGAAGCTACCGTGTCGTGCGTTGAGTCTCTGAGGCTACAGAGAGCGTCACTGGGAGCGTCATCATCGCCCTCCGGATGTGTAGTCGCGATACCGGCTGCCTGTCGCTGCAGGCAGGCCTCGGTGAAGTGGCCCCGGCGTCTGCAATGACGGCACTGGCTGCGGTAGGCGGGACAGGATTTAGCGCGAACCGCGACAGAGGCTTTTACGCCATGACCTGTCCGACGACAATATTGGCAGACGTCGGCCGGTCCTGCGACTGAACTCTGTTGACGGCCAGCATCGCCAGCTGATACTCGCCGCTCCTGCTCGCCGATGCTCGCTTTCGCTCGCCGGTACTGGCTGCGGGCGGCGGCCACACCTTGAGACTGACCCAGCGTCTGAGCGGATCGCTTACCAGCCTCTTTTGCTTCGACGAAACGAATGGTCTCTTCCAGGGGGATCGGTGTCTGGCCTTGGGCGAGGAGGTCCAGTTGAATATCCCTGTCCGCTAGCCCCCTGGCGAGCGTATCGCGTGTGACTTCATCCTGGTAGCTGACGACCCGTCCGCATTCGCAGGTGACGTGAAACTTACAGACAGCCGCCTGCCCGCGAAGACGAGCGGCGAACGCCCTGACCGGCTCTTCGTGCTCCTGCGTCATGTTGTGGAGCTGGACGCGAGCCACTGCGAGGTTTTCCTCGCGGACGGCGAGACTTCGCATTGCGGCCAAGACAGTCTGTTCGTCCTTGGATGAGAGGGAGCCCCCCGAGAATCTGGTGAGGTCCCTGCGGAGGCCTTCGTCGCAGCATTCAAGCAGCTGGATGACGCAGTCTGTATCGGTGAGTCCGGTGGCTTTCTTGTACTCCGTCCATCGGCTGGTGAAATACTCCCAGTCCTCGCTGGATCCGGCAGCTGTCACGCGCGGTCTGGTGACCTTTTCGGCAGTAATGCTCACTGTAGGCCGGGTATGGGCCTCGGACTGGTGCATTTGAAGAAGTTGTACGACCACGATAGGTGCGGTATCTGCAGCGACGACGTATTCACAGCCGCTGAATGGGCAGGCTGTTGCCATGGTTCGAGGCTCGGGTTTCGACGTTATGCTTGATTGCAAATTAAGATATGTCCAACATAGATAGGCATGCGCGCCATTTCGATATTCTGTATTCGGAATTCAGTGAATGTTGGACATATCTAGTCCTGCGGACGAGACAGAAACAATGTTACAGAGGGAAGGCACTGCATACATGTCTATAGAGAAATTGGAAAAGATAATGAAAGACAAAGAGATTGCCATGAAAAATGCCCAGAAACAGCAGGCAGAAATGTTCGTGAAAACAGCACAAATGTTCAGGGAGTCACAAGAACAAAACAGGCTACAAATGATGGCTGTTTTCGAACAAAACAGACAACAGATGATGAACGTTTTCATTATTTGTTTAGTGATCGCGGCGACTATTGTTGGGTATCAAACTTGGACAACAAACAAGGCAGACGAAAAGGCTTGGGAAATGGTAGCAGCCGAAAGGGCTAACGCAGAACGGAGGGAGCATCAAATGAGCATGGAAAAAGAAAGCATGGTTCTCCAGCTGATGAAACTTCAAATGGAGCTACAGCAGAAAAATCAGGCAAAAGATGAAGCCGATACGATGAGTAAGTTAATAAAGGCGATAGCTGACAGGGACAAGATGTCCGTCAGCGAGAGAGAACAGAACAACAAACCCTTCAGGGGTGAGCGTGAGAATCTGGAGGCTCCACCGCAAACTAAGGAGGCTGAGAGAAAGGATTTGATGTTTTTAGCCGCTTTGGTCTGTGTGCTTGCTGTTGTGATTGTGCTCCGTCGCCAGTAACTGCCAGCAGTGCCAGTGCTTTACAGTACTCACTACTCGGTATACCTCTATGTATTTCACTGGAATATTTTGAATCACTGTTGTTTGAGCCGGACCAACAATGGTCCAGCTTTTGTGTGTGTGGGGGGGGGGGTCATGGCAAAGTCTGAAAACAAATGTAGTTGAGTGGAAAGTGTGACACAATTTATCTGGACGTAGTTTTCCAGTGCAAAGTTGCCGTTTTGGCTCTAGAGGGGTGGTTTGGTCGCTATCCGGACTGCCTCATCGGGGGCCGCCAGGGCGAGGCGTGTCTTGAGCTGAGTATCAGCCGATCGAGGCGTCATCTGGCGGGTGTGGCGTCAGCTAACTACCATTGAACCGATCGCCGTGAGCTCTGGTGGCAGGCACATTGAACTACCCGATCACCGTACCATAGCTCACTTAAATCGCGTCTAATAAATGGCATATTGATATGTCTTTACGTCAACTCGATTCCGCTCGACGCGGGCATCGGCAAAATCGGACCAAATGTTTCCAGCTCTAGCCGAACTACGGTCATCTGCAGTCAGGTCATGACCGGTCGGTGAAAACCAATGACCAATGATCATGGGCCGCCATTGTCTCTGGAGCTGGACCAGACGTCTCCAAGACCAGTGAGACAGTCATCTACGGCGATGACCGGTCATGACCATTAGCCATGAGCTGCCAGCGTTCCCAGTCAGTGGCCCTTGCTGGAGAGCATTCAACAACCCCGCACATTTGGTGGCTCTCATTGTTGATGGTGTCGACTTTACGAGGTGTGACCAAAAAGAAACGAGACTGTGTCCGCCGGGGACATGGCTCAGCATCTACACACCGATTACCTATATTATAGTGATGCGTAGCATTTCAGCACTATCTGAGCGAAGTTTCGCTTTTGCTGGCCCATTATCCTTCTTTACACAAGTGTGTCTCTAATCCCCCTGCAGTACCCCATGTCACGTGCTCTTGTATGTCTTCAACCTCTTCAAAAAGTGAGCCCTTGAGGACACCCTTGGTGTTCGGGAACAGCCAGAAGTCACATAGTGTTAGATCTGGCGAGTACGGGTGATGTTTCACTCTGGGTTCCACTGTGGGCTGCCCTCCGGCTGCTCAAAGACTACCGTGTCACGTCCACACAGCGAGCCTTTGGATCATTGGAGAACACTTTGGGCAACCTCTTATCTTCTTCATGCCCAAATCCACCGTGAGGATGGCACTCACCGACTCTCTTCCCATTCCTAGCCCCTCAGCCAGCATCCTTTCCGTTTGCGATCTTTGTGCATCAGGCTCGTGGTTTATGTGACATATGACTAATGACACCCATGACTAAGCAATAAATGCGAAACGTTGGGTAATTTTTGCGTTTTATCTCTTTTAAAATGAATTCAAAAATTTAGGCCATACATGCACTTATATGTCACATCTGTCATTTGATAATCCTCAACAGGCTCGTGGTTGTTTTCTTCATTTCTGGATGTTGTAGGACTTCCAGACTTCGGGTCATCCACCACGTCAACTCGTTCACTCGCAAACCTTTTGTGCCCCTCGAACACTCGTGCACAATGCATTGTATCGCCTCCATCGGCATCTCGTATTTGTCGCCCATTTCGACCATTTGTCGACTTAACCCGCGAGTTGCTGGGGGGGGGGGCGTTAAACGCCCCCACTTTTTTCGCCGGGCCATGGCATAAAAACGGCGCGCCGCAGGCGCGCCAAATTTTGTGTACCTGTAGGGAATTGATTGAAGTTTATTGTGACAAAGTTTCAAGATAATCGGTCGGAAATGTTTGAGATATCGAGGTTTTAGTGACGTCATGATTTCTGAGTTTTCGACCAAAAACGGCATATGTTCAAAAAATCATATAAAATCACAGAATAGACATACAGACATGCCGTAAACGCCGTTAGACTGCCAATCCCATGAACAATCAAATGGCTATCTTCGATTATTGATTATCGTTCCGCATTTTCCAAAATCTTGAACTGAATCTTGGCAATTTCTCGTGACTACTTCACGACCCTGATACATGCATTTCTTAAATTGAACTTTTTGAGCCAAACACGTACACATATGATAAAATGAATGTCACCATCGTGTTCTACGCCCCAAACTACCCAGAAAACATGTGTCACAGGCTGCGAATATCAGTTTTGATTTTCGGGGATATGTGCCTACCCGGTTGACCTGACCTTGACCCTGACCTATGCTTGACTGATCCCTACATGGAGCTGACACTCCTGTAGGCCTTATATGATGGATTGTGCACCGTTTTGACAGAGTTACTGACGAGAGGCGCCCATTGCGAAGTCTTGAAATCCATGCTACTGAAAGTCCGATTTCAGGTGTTTGACCTGACCTTGACCCGACCTGTGACCTCAAAATTCAACTTTAAAGTATTCATCTGAAGTGTCTCGTCGCGTTCATTCGTTTGCCGCCTCGTGCGTTTCGCTGCGCCTATTGGTTCTCGAGTTATCGGCTGGGGGCGTTTAACGCCCCCCCCCCCCCCCCAGCAAACGGTGGGTGACGAAATACCCCAGCAACTGCCGGGATAAGTCCTCGTCCGTCCGATTGGCCTTTTTATAGCGGCTGACGTATGAGGGAGTCTGATCCCGAAACGGCAGATAATTTCGAATTTGGCCTTCCTTTTATTCCAGAAAAATGTATTATATATGCAACGTGCATCTGATATATCGGATCAAGTCAGGTCCAGACAACCATCAGAGGCTTGTAGATATTTACCACAACCACGACAATACCCGAGGGCCATGAGAATTCGCGGAGCCTCTGATTACTCAGTGCAGCGGCGAGCGGTGCTGCCTGGCACAATTGGCCCCGCCCGAGAGGCGTCGCCAATTCAGCGGGCTCACGGTCACTGTGGCCCTGGCGGCGCCGCTGCTGGTTTATCGAAACTCAGGGTCACCGCGGCGGCGTGGTGTCTCATCAGGGTGCGTTCCTCGCCGGTCACCAGAGAGCAGCCGCACGGGGACCAGTGAGGAGCGTCCGGCGTACGACACCGGCCTGACACACGCCTGGAAAGGTCAGTACCTACTACTCCCCGCTTTTGCTACGAGGATGCTGGCACGATCTCACTTTAAAGCCCAGATTGCATGGTAGATGAGTTCATTCGAGGATTTACCAGAACGACGATTACTACCAAATGACGCTACGTTTGAATAATAGCGCAAAAATAAGGCTAGTGCGAAAACGTATGTTTTGGAAAGATAGGTAATGACAAAGATGATATGGAAGTCCATAGGCATCTAAACAAAACGCTAGAACAGCTTTGTGATCAAGTATAAATCATAAATATGAATGGTACCTGTATAAATGTCAATGAGAGGTCAGGATGAATAAAAATGCGAGGGCGACTGTTCGGCATTTTTCATTAATGCAACGATTATTAAAAGCTTTTTTTGCACAGATGTCTTCTGAACGAGTTCCATTTCCCTTCAAGATCCGTCCTCTTGAAGACGATGTACAGAAGAAGATCGCCAAAGACTTCGAGGGCTATCCGAATGGTCTCGCCTCTTGCAACCACTGGAACTTCAAGCTGTCAGCGACAGCCTCCGAAGAGCAACTGGAGGATCTGTACAACTACCCGCTGGACCCTCGTGACGTCTGGGTGGTCACGCCTCCAAAGTGTGGGACCACTTGGAGTCAGGAGATGATCTGGCTTATCGCCAACGACCTTGACTACGAGGCAGCCAAAAAACCCTTGATGCCTGACAGGTACTCAACGTTTTCAGCCATTCACCCGTATGACTCAGTTGTTTAAGGCACATTTAATGTTAAATGTGCTTAGTGCTGCTAAATGCTGCTAAAATGTTCTAATGTGCTAAATGTGTTTAGGCACAAAGTAATGTTTTTCTATCGATTTATGGTCACCTGCCGGCCGCCGCTCACCGAACTTGATCAGCGAATCATATTCACAATCCCTCTTTCCCTCCCTCTCTCTCTCTCTCTCTCTCTCTCTCTCTCTCTCTCTCTCTCTCTCTCTCTCTCTCTCTCTCTCTGTCTCTCTCTCTCTCTCTCTCTCTCTCTCTCTCTCTCTCTCTCTCTCTCTCTCTCTCTCTCTCTCTCTCTCTCTCTCTCTCTCTCTCTCTCTCTCTCTCTCTCTCTCTCTCTCCTGCTCTCATTTCATTTTTCTCTTCCTTCATCCCCTCCATTGTTTGCCTCAATCTGTTTTCGTTGTGTTTTTCGTAACTCCCGCACGTTGCCCTGTGTTTTTAGGTGGAACTTTATCGAAATCGCAGCCATCATGGACATGGAGGGTTTGGCCAAAACAGTCCCGCAGGGCGCCTCGGACGCTGCCTTTGACGTCAAAGACCTGACTGGCGACCCGAGCCGCCCCTCACCGCGCTTCGTCAAGTCGCACCTGCCCATATCGCTCAACAACCCGCGCCTCCTGGACACGTGCAAGGTGGTGTACGTGGCCAGGAACCCCAAGGACGCCTGTGTCTCTTACTACAACCACAACCGGCTGTTCCGTGACTGCGGCTTCAACGGGGACCTCGAGGTGAGGAGAACAGACGATGGCTCTTACCTACTTGTTGGATTTAAATGTAAAGCGGTCACCAGTGAAGTAATTTGAAGTGTTGTCTTCGGTCTGACATTTCAGATGATTCTGGGTGTTTGGAACGGTGCGCTACAGAAATGCATGTATCTACAGAATGATGCAATTATTCAGTACAGCCAACTCATACGAGCATTTTCTGTTTATATTTTATTTTTGCATTCATTTTATGTTTATTTTCTGCATAGTTTATTCTCCTTCTGCCCTCATTCTCGAATGTAGGCAAAAATAGTTCGATAAATGCATTTTCTGCCATTGGTGGCGGAACGGGGAGGGCACCGGGGCACCGTGCCCCCCCCCTTTGGTTTTGGCATTTTAACATTAGCCCTATGGGCGTTGCATGGAAAGAACGGGAACAAAAGTTGGCAGTGCCCCCCTTAATTGAAGGTGTTCCACAGCTACCGTTTTCTGCGCTATGAAGTGCTGATAATTAAAAGGTTACTTAGGTTTAATCTTTTGCAAGGTAAGAACGACTGAAAACACGCATTGAGAAAACATTTCAAAAGTGATTTGGGGCCTGTTTCGCATGCTCTCTTGCATTTATCGATGTTTCTGTGCGTTGTTGTGTTTCAGCTTTTCGTGGAGCACTTTATGAACGAGACAATCGTGGAGACACCGTTCATCGAGCACATGATCGAGGCGTGGAACCTGCGACATCACCCCAACATGTGCTTCCTCTTCTTCGAGGACATGAAGAAGGACCTGAGGGCGCAGCTGCGAAAGGTGGCGGCCTTCCTCGGCAAGTCCTACAGCGAGGAGCAGATCGACAAGCTGGCCAGCCACCTGCACATCGACAACTTCAAAAAGAACCCCTACGTCAACATGGAGCACATCAACGCGTCTGGAGCGGTTAACACTGACCGCGGGTCTTTTATCCGCAAGGGTAAAACAGGCGACTGGAAGAACCACTTCACCCCCGAGGTGACTGAGAAGTTCGACAAGTGGATGGCGCAGAAAATGAAAGGCTGCGACCTCAAATACGTGGAGGAGCTGGATCATCAGGATTAGAGACGGATTTAGTTCTGTGTATGAGGAGAGCATGCATCATCGTAACGAGTTTTGAAACAAGGAAGGGATCAATTGATTGGAGCTTAGGGTCTTTTGAGAAGAGCCAACACATGACTTAGATGACTTACATGTATAAGGACTGTGTTATGGAGTAGTGTGATAGAGGACTGTATAGTAAATACTGTGTAATAAAAATACATTGGTACATCACTTGTATACCAGTTATAGGTATATATCAGTTACTGACATGCTATTACCATGACCGTGTAACCTAATTAATTTTGCGTGAAAAGGAATTTATTGATTATGATTTATTATTATTGACGTAATTATGGTTGGACATGACTACGAAGCAATCCATGATCATGTGCAGTACACGAGTAACAATGCAATATTTATAGTCCACATATAAGAGGCTCATAAGTGTTATTCGAAGTTCTCATAAACAATACTGTGGTACTGTGTCCTTACATCAAATCCTATCGTCTTCCATTCTAACCTTATATTGCAACCTTGAACCTAGGACATGTATGCTGAGCGTCGTTCCAGCAATGTGCAAGTTGGCCGCTTAGCTTGTATGTATATAGAGAACGTAGTGGGGACACAGACACAGACACAGCTGTGTCAACTGACCCATGTGTAAAGCGGCAAGACTAATCTTAGCACCGTACAACCTGTGAGAAATGGAAGATTATTCTGTATGTCAAGTTTATCTTAGCATAAATCTGAGTGAAGATGTCGGAGATGAGTGAATGTGTGATGAAACCAAATGCACACACTGTACCTAAGAATGGCAATCATGCAGTGAAAAGGGAAAGAAAAAAGGGCTTTGGATACACCTGTCGAAATTTTGTCGACTTCTTCTCAAAGCAAGGTCTCTGTCTCAAATTCGGCGGCTCACTGCGGCACCGTTTTCATTACATCAGTAAAAAAAGTATATGACCTCCGGAAGATTGCGTCAGCAGCTTGGTCTCGCTAACGTTACCGCTGGGTAAGATAAAGCATAATCTTAACGAGTGTCTTATTTGCCTCCCACTAACTCCACAATATCAGCTAGCGACAGCTATCAACTTGTCGCCGTCCGCGATCGCATGGTCGTATGTAACATCAAATGTAGCGGGATTTGCGACAGACACTAACAGCGAGTGAAAAACAGTTTGAGCGATCATATGCGATACTGAACACCTCACTACGCCCCCCCCCCCCCCCCCAATACGTACGCGAGCGGAGCCACACCACGCGCGGATGAAACTATGTATCTCTGGCGATTGAACCACGGACCCGCCCCCTTCCTGGCCCTTCCACTCCAACTCGTTTCTACAGTCGTGATGACTGGGCACGTTCGGTGCGAGTCGAGTCAGGTTGACGGTACTCGTGTACCGGGGCGAGGGACCGTGACTGGCGGCGACGCTGGGCGTTTATCGGAGCTCAGGGTCACACTAGCGCCGGCTCGGAGCCCCGTCAGACGGAGACGGGCCGCCGCCGGAGAGCAGCGTCCTCTGACAGAGCCGGGAGAGAGGTACGCCCCCAGACAGTGGCTACCAGAGACCAGACAGGGGAACAGTCACCAGCGAGGAGCCGACAGACAACCGCCAGGGTCAGTATAATATATCGTCCTATTTTATCACTTTATGAAGTGACTTAAAATTGGTAACAGGCATGTTTTCAATAATGAAGCTATATTGTTATATATTATTATATAACTAAATGTGAGTTAAGTAGCTCAGTTTTCGGAGAAATCAAACACTGGCAGGTACTTTGAAAGGAACTGCGACGAAGCAATTGATATGCTGTCTTACCCTGTAAGTTAATAATTTCAGGAAAAGAACTGCGTCGATGACTGTGCTTGATAGAGCTCCGCTCAGCAGTAGCTGAACAAAGATAAAAATGACAGGTACCAAACCAATGCAGAAATATCTAGAACAGAGTCTCAAAATATGCAAACAATGGTCTGTAGAAAAGCGTGAGCCGGTTTATCTACGAATACCTTTTACGATGTTATTTCGTCAGTCTATAAGAACGCATCCTTGCGCTTTCGGCGATCCACCCTATAGAAATGGTGCCTAATTTTTCTCTGTTACATAGAATTGCACGCAATTTATTCCAGGCCATAATATTAGCACATGATTTTCACAGATGTCTTCTGAACGAATTCCGTTTCCCTTCAAGATCCGTCCTCTTGAAGACGATGTACAGAAAAAGATCGCCAAAGACTTCGAGGGCTATCCGAATGGACTCGCCTCTTGCAACCACTGGAACTTCAAGCTGGCGGGGTCGGTGACCGAAGAGGAAATGGAGAATCTGTACAACTACCCGCTGGACCCTCGTGACGTCTGGGTGGTGACGCCTCCAAAGTGTGGGACCACTTGGAGTCAGGAGATGATCTGGCTGATCGCCAACGACCTGGACTACGAGGGAGCCAAGACACCCCTTATGCCTGACAGGTGAGTGCCGGCCTAAAATATAACGTTTGATACTTAACGTTTTTTTTTTTCTTACTTGAAAATGGACGTTCTCTCGATTAAGAACAATAAGTTATCCTTGATCAGTTAGTAGTTCGTTATATAAGAAACGATAATTTTACTTCTGTTCATGTTAAGTGACGATGTAAAAGAATTTCATTAAGATTCATGTCATTAGGGATGTACTGGTTCAAGCAATAAGACACCATCACGCATGCTAACCGTTTCCTGCACGCATGTTATCATGGATAATGAACATTACTTGCTCACAGATGGAACTTCATCGAGATCGGTGCCATTTTGGACCAGGATGGCCACGCCAAAATGGCGCCCGCCGGCGCCCCTCCGATGGACGTGAAGAAGTTCGGCGGAGACCCGAACCGCCCCTCGCCGCGCTTCGTCAAGTCGCACCTGCCCATGTCGCTGAACAACCCGCGCCTCCTGGACACGTGCAAGGTGGTGTACGTGGCCAGGAACCCCAAGGACGCGTGTGTCTCCTACTACCATCACAACCGGCTGCTGCGCGGGCACGGATACTTCGGGGACCTGGAGGTGGGTGATATATGGAGGCTCGGCGGCAGACAAAAAAAGAGTCGTCGGTTCGTTGGATGAGTCGAGTAGGTAAATGTGCTAGCTTATGTATGTGCAAAATTGAAGAAAAAACAGACGAGAGCCAAGAAGTTTAAAAAAATGCACCAATGATCCTCGTACCCGCAGATAGTGATGAGTGACCACTGACCAGTGTGTGCGTCCGTGCGCTCTTGAAGCATCGTATTTGGACTGTGGTCAATCTGTAAGATACGGATAGTCCCACTCAAACTCCGGTAACGCTGGTATATTGCCTTGAAAGTAGAATGAACACTTCACTCCGCAGCCAAAAATAGTCATTTTCGGATGGATCGGTTTGCCACGATTAGGTCCAATACAATACCATACAATACAACACTAGAAATGATTCGAAGAAAGAATCTTAGTTATTACACCGAACTGCTTTCAGCTAAACCCATGTATTTTCAAGACAAAATTTAGTTTTACGAATAGGTACTTCACCCTACCATGTAATAGTTTCTTAACAAACGTGAGCCTGGTACATATGTGGCAGGGGAGCAGATATTTGCTATAAAAACCGAAACTATATAAAAAAAAAACAAATCATGCTAAATGCTGCCTTGGAGTGTTGGATGAATGGAAAACATTACGTATACCTATTCCAGCAACATGCTGTCACCGGCAATGCGTGCAAAATAGTTTTTAATTGCCTGAGAAAGTGTTCGTATAACGCCATAGACCGATGGCTGGATCAGAGTCCACTCTCGGGAAGCTGCTTTCGTCTGCTTCCGTCCAATTCTCGTCGAGTTTTTGTCGCTGAATGGAGTGTTTGTTTGTTTTTCAGCTCTTCGTGGAGCACTTTATGAACGAGACCATCGTGGAGACTCCGTTCATCGAGCACATGATCGAGGCGTGGAACCTACGACACCACCCCAACATGTGCTTCCTCTTCTTCGAGGACATGAAGAAGGACCTGAGGGCGCAGCTCCGAAAGGTGGCGGCCTTCCTCGGCAAGTCCTACAGCGAGGAGCAGATCGACAAGCTGGCCAGCCACCTGCACATCGACAACTTCAAAAAGAACCCGTACGTCAACATGGAAAAATCGACGCACGGTATGGTCAACAAGGACCAGGGCAGCTTCATCAGGAAGGGGAAGACGGGTGACTGGAAGAACCACTTCACCCCTGAGATGACGGAGAAGTTCGACAAGTGGATGGCGCAGAAAATGAAGGGCACCGATCTCAAATATGTAGAGGAGCTTGATAAGCAGGATTAGGCTACTGTTATGAACTAGCTTTGCGTAGTACCACATCAGTAGGAAGCTATGACATAGGTACCGTATGGAATGAAGCTCTTCCAAATTGAGTTAATGGTGGGCGTGCTGTCCAGATAACGTGAGTTACGATGCAATGTTATTGTCCATGTACTTACGTACTCATCATTTTTATATGACGTACCAAATGGTCGCCTAGAATTGACGAATGTGAAGATCAATACACGGATAAATACAGAGTTGTCGCTATTCGGGACACTTGCACCTCATGCTAATGCTGTGTTATTTCACCCTGAACTAATGCCAAACCAACATGGTTAGAATCTCAAAATGAGCTAAAGAGAACAAATTATCAGTAAGTATCCCGACTTCTCCAACTCGTCTGCCAAAGAATGTAGGTATCTCCCACTTACTGACGCAGGTGGCGCCGTAAGGCCACCTCCTCAGTGGCGCCATCGCACGGCAAGTCTTGGAAGTACCAGGGCAATGGTGAGGGCGACGGATACCCGACATCAGCGGTAAATGTTTCCTTATATAACATTCTAATTGCTCTAATGAAAAAGCTCATGAACCATCATTAAACATTTGAATATGCAAACGAATATTAGATAAATAAATCACAAAATAAAGAACAAAGTAGATGATGAATAGCGAATTATATTAGGTAGGTGGGTCCTTGGGTAGGTCCAAGAAGTAGGCATGTATGCAAATGTGACCTATGATATGTCGAAAGACAGCGTAACCAAGATTCATTTTCATCATTTCTATTGTATTCTACTTCGGCTGCAAGCAGCGGGTCTGACCAGGGGGAGTAGGTACTTACCAGGTCGTGTCAATAGCCTCCAGTTTGGGGCGGGGCACCCCCACCGTGTGTTGTTGTCCACAGCAGCTCATTGGGGGCTTGTCGGCCTGCCATAGGTGTTCACTGCACGTGCTGTGTATAGGTACCTATGTATGTGTGCCGCGATGACGCGCCGTGGGAGCGGCAGGCTGGCGACCAATAACGTTCCGCCGTGGTGCGCTTCGTCGGCGGGCCTCTGAGCACCCCACTAGCACCTCGTGCCTGGTGGGTGTCGTCCAGTGTACCACCTGCAGCCACTGAGTGTCGTCCAGTGCCTGCAGCACGGCCGGCAGACAGCGGCACTCCCAGAACAGCTGCTGCTCGGTGTCAGGATCCTGCCTGTCCGGTTCTAGCAGAGCTGTTGTACCGGCAGAGCTGCTGTTGCTGATACAGCACAGCTGCTACCAAAAAGTAGCAGAGCTATCACTACCAACTGCTACTCAAAACCTGCAGAGCTGCAGCCCAAGAGGTGCAGAAGCCGGTACTCGGCGCAAGCAGCGCCACCTTCAGCCTTATTGTGGCGTTAGCGGCACATCACTCTCAGCTCTGGGCACCGTTTTCACTACCGTGCGGCCCTTAGGGTGGGTAAGTATGCGGAGCTGGATATGAATTTTGTTAATTTTGTCATGGATGCTGTTACATATTTAAAACCACCTAAAATGACTCATTTTTCAGTAATCAACCACCCCTGTGTGTTTCTGTTTCTTTCATCCGTTTTTAATTCATGTTTCTTCAGTAAGAAGCGCTGTATGTTTCCTCACTTATAATTTTCTTTGTTTATAATTTGCTTTGGCTTCTATAGCTAGAACAACAAACATGTTGTTCCTTCTCCCACGCCCCGCGGGGGTCCTGGATTTCTACGCCCTGCTGAAAAGAGTTTGAACATCCCCCCTCCTCCCCTCTAACTCGGCTCCTGGGTCACTTAGCGACACGCAGTAAGCGGCATTCGAAAGTACGTCCAAAATAAGGACGAAAACACTGAAGTCATTTTTTAGGTCGGGTCAAACGCCAGGGCACCAGAGGCCATCAAGGGTACGATGTTGCCTATTTTAACATTATTTGAAACATCGGCACATAACTCGAGAATCCATAGAGCTACAGCGCCGCAGAAAAGCGCATTCCGATAGCCCTTTTAGCCCACTTTCTGCAATGTCCCCTACATTTGATCTCAGGTCAACAGTTTACCCGAGAGCAAAAACTGAAAAGCCGTTTTTAAGAAAAATATTTTTTTTTTTCAATAACTTCTGATTCAAGAGTCACGACATTATTTTTGCCAGCATCGTCTTCCTCTTGTCGAGGCGCGTCGAATGAAATATAAGTTGACCTTGAAAGGTCAAATTAAAAATTTGACCTCAGGTCAAAGTCATGACCTGACCGAAAAAGGTCATGTTGCATATCAGCCGATTCGTATCGTCGAGCCGAATACCTACATCTTAAGCGTTTTCGTCGCTATAGCGTGCCTATATAGATAAGAAGTTATCAGCGAAAGACTGTTAGTGTTAGACCCCATTCGTTACCTGAGACGACCTCGGGGACGTAGCGAGGGGTCACCGGTGCCATTTTCCCGTTCAGTGTGTCATTTGTATTTGTAATTCGGTGTTTGACGGTGTTTAGAATGACGTCCGTCCAAAAGAGGCGCCTTTCAATTTTTTCCCATTGGCTTATAAGTAGAGGTCGCAAAATTGACCTGATCTCAGTTCACCGATATCGAAATGCCGAGATAAAAAAAAATATGCATATTGTTGCTCTTATCAATTGCTGAAAGTTTCAGAGTCGTCGGTCACTCGGTGTAGTCATGGCAGGCATTGAAACTTTTGAGGAGGTGAGGTCACTTGGCGTGACCTGGTGACCTAAACTTGGATGACCTTGGTCTGAATTTTTCACAACATGTGCGAGAAAGATGTATGATAACGTGTGCCAAAAACGGCGGCACTCAGCGCTGCCGTCTCTGAGACATTCGCGAAAAGCCGCAGGAGGTGTTGGCAGCCCCCTCCCCCCCCCCAGCAGGGGGCGGGTTAAACGTTTTAAGTGTCCCGCAAATACCTACGTCACTGCTCGCAAAAGACCCCGCGTTGTTCTTACGCAGCACGGAGCTGAGAACAGTGCACCTGCGCCGTGTTCCATCAAACACCTCAGTCAAATATCCACGGCCGAGCTGTCAATTACCCGTCCCACAAATAGTCGTTAGGTGCCGCCGAAAAATATGGTTCGCCGCAGGAATTACAGCGCTCTACATGGGTTCGATGACCGTGTAAAGGGGCTCCGGGACATGGAAGAAATGCCAAGCTGTCTATGGCCTAAATTGGCCTTAAAAGATATACATTTTATACTTTGGAATAGCACAGCTGATTAAAAATAGACGTTATCATTGTCCAAAAATACTGGACGAAAATACTCTTACCGCCATACTGGATGTGGTCTCATGCAGGTCCAACAGGGCTGCGGAGTCGATGGATTTTCGGCGACTCCGACTCCGACTCCGATTCCGGCTTTCAAAAACCAGCTCCGACTCCGACTCCGACTCCGGGCAGAATTGTCGACTCCGACCGACTCCAACTCCCGACTCCGACTCCGCAGACCTAGCAGGGCTGCGGAGTCGACAGATTTTCGGTGACTCCGACTCCGACTCCGGCTCGGGTTTCTAAAATCGACTCCGACTCCGACTCCGACACCGGTCACAACTGTCGACTCCGACCGACTCCGACTCCGACTCCGACTCCGACTCCGCAGCCCTGAGGTCCAATATGATAAAAGTGCCGTGCTATGGTATCCTCAGTAACATTTCTGATAGCATTTACCAAGGAATAAGGTATCCATGTGGCATAATACCGGTGCTGGCAACTGCACATCCGAGTCAATAGAATAATGATTCCTAGAACTGTCAATATAAGACGAAATGTAATACGTACAGACACATTTTTCATTCAAACCATAGACGTTTTCTGCAGCTGAACTACTGCGAGTGCTGCACCAAATCCTTTCTACGATATTTAAAACATTGGACCCTGCAGTCTTCCAGCCAACACAACAACCTTGATAGGCGTGAGTTCATCCCATAACTGGCGCGGACAGTCCGTTTCGACCACCGTTAGGAAACATACTGCAAGTGCCGTTCCTATAGACTTTGGCGGCCATTCCGTCGGACCCCCGTACAAAGTGACATGCAATGAGCAAATGAGCTTTAATTCAGGCATGGTCAGTTTGAAGCATCGCTGCCTGAGCCATCACTTACATGTCATTGTTAGTCTTTGGCATGGTCATTGGTCATGTTCCATGTTAAGTGCAAAACTAGATGACCCTCTATCCATCTTTATGTTTCAGAATGGTGTAAGCGAAAATAGCATTCGGCGTAGTTTACATACCGAATCAACAATGCATCAGTATCACATCAGCGGGTCACCCAAGCGAATGCTGGACGATAGAGAGTGAATGATAGTGTATCAGGAGAGCCCGTGAATACCGTTGAAGCAGCGCAAAACATCCGGCAAATCGACGGCCAGCGGAGCCTCAGGCCACATACCTATAATTGAAATCGCTCAATGCTGGTGAGTCAGTGGTGAGTGAGCTATGACGGATCAAGTAAGCTTAGAAACTGTCCACTAGCTCATAGCTGTGTGTCAGAAACCTGTTCATAATTAACGGAACTTTCTGTTCAACTTTTGATTAGTTGGCAAAAAAAAAAATCAACCCGCTTAGATGATATATCTCATAATTAAAATATTATAAAGCAATTTAAGAACATAATTGAATATTGATCCCTGATGGTATGATTAAAATAATGTTGGCGTCTTCTAAACATGTTCCTTGCTTTAACAATGAGCGGCTAACTACATAAGTCACTTACGGCCTAAGGGCAATGACCAAGCACGAGCAATCAAGCATCCTCGGAGCATCAGTTGCGTTCAAAAACGTTTCCAAATAACAACCACCCTCAATACAAGCAGCTTGCATCCAGGCTCCCAGGAGTTTGGACCTGTAACACGTGTGTGTTCTCGTGCCCAGAGCGGGGCACTTCGTGTTGTTGGCGGTCCTCGTCAGAGACGACGGTCTTCCGGTCGAGTTGTATTTGAGCAGCACAACACAGAGCAGGATGATCGGCTACGGTGTCGGCACACGGAGCAGATGGTACACGTCCGATGGCTCTGGGACTCGGGGGTCTTCTGAATTTCCCTTTGCCGGGGTGCTCTCAGCTCGGCTCACCCGACCTAGTTCCTACTACATACTAGAACGTAAAACTATCCTGCATGACGGCCCGCTATTGGATTAAAACATTTTCGCTTTGAGACTCGTCTCGTGATTGGCTATTACTAGGTCACCGCCCCTCGGCTCTCTGGTAGCTCCCAGGAGACACGTGTCAAGTGAGTTGCCAATCGTCACACGCTGGCACCGTGGTTGAGG